AACCCATCTCATCATGCAATCTCCAAAGATGATAAAATGTTTTCTCTTAGAGAGCCCTGCCCAATTTCTTTTTGGCCAAATTTAATGACCTTTTCTCTGGTTTTCCTTTCCATGAAAGATTTTTCTTTCCAATTTTATTGCAATATAATTGACATACAACACTGTGTAAGTTTAAGGTATGCAGCATAATGGTTTGGCTTATGTATATTGTGAAATGACCACCCCAGTGAGTTTAGTCAGCATCCATCATTTCATATAGATGCAATAAAGAGGGAAAGTTAAAAGAAAAAAAAGGAAAAAAGGAAAAAGATTTCTTTTTTCTTTCAGAACTCTTAGGACTTACTCTCTTAGTAACTTTCATATCTATCATACAGCAGTGTTAATGACAGCATGCTGTACATTATGTCAGAAAACTTATCTTGTAAATGGAAGTTTGTACCCTTGGTCACTTTTCTCTAATTCCCTCTCCCCCAACACCCTGCCTCTGGTAACCACAAATCCGATCTCTTTTCCTATGAGTTTGGGTTTTGTTTTTGTTTTTGTTTTTGTTTTAGATTCCAATGTAAGTGAGATCAAACAGTATTTGTCTTTCTCTAACTTACTTCGCTTAGCATGTGCCCTCAAGGTTCATCCAAGTTGTCACAAATGGCAGGATTTCTTTGTGGGCTTTTTTTTAATGGCTGGATGCTATTCCATTTTTATACACACACACACACACGCACACACACACACACACACACACACACACACACACGCACACACCAACTTCTTTATCCATTCATCTGGCAATGGACACTTAGGTTATTTCCATGCTTTGGCTATTATAAATAATGCTGCTATATGCTAACTTGGATATAAATTTTATAAATAAATAAACAAATAAGTAATGCTGCTGTGACATGGGGTTGCAGATATCTTTTGAGTTGGTATCATGAAAGATTTTTTTTAAGTTTATTTATTTTGTGAGAGAGAGAAAGCGCAAGTTGAGGAGGAACAGAGAGAGAGAGGGAGAGAGAGAGACAGAGAGAGAATTCCAAGCGGGCTTCATAGTGCAGAGCCTGACACAGGGCTCGAACTCACAAACTGAGATCATGACCTGAGCCCAAGTTGAACGCTTAACCAACTGAGCCACCCAAGCGCCCCAGAAAAATGTTTTAAAGTACATCTCTGTACTCTGCCTTGCAAGACCGTATTGTATCAAAACTCCTCATAACTTATATGAGCTTTTCAAAGAGGGAGGGGAAAGGAAGGAAAACTAAAATTTAGTGCCAAACACTGTGCTAGGTCTTTATATTTTTTTTTCATATGTATTCCTCACAAAACTCAGTGAAGCAGATATCTTCTTTTCAGAGATAAGAAAACCAAGGGCCAGAAACATTAGGTTTGAGCATAGTCACAGATAGCAAGAAATAAGACAAAAAAGGAAATTCAACCTTCGGGAGTCCTGTCCTCTTGTTCTCCCACCGCATACACCGCCCCCTGCAGGCGGATTATCATGTGCTCCTGCCCTGGTCCCAAACCACCAGGGCTACACCTGTCCAACAGATCGCAGTAGAATAAAAGTGTTCTTATCCTGACTAAATTGTAAATAGCTTTTTAAAAAATACACACTCACCTTAAAATGTTAACTTAAAATATGAAACACTTAATTTGTAATCTTTTGTCAGAGGACCAAATCTTTCTCCTTAAGCACATCTGCCAATTAAATCACAAGTAACTTTCCTACATAAACCATACCCACGATGCACAGCCTCTGAATTTTCAATTTCCACTTCTTTACAACGGAGCAAGAACTTAGGCAGTCATAAAGCAATCCAAATTCAGAATTTTTCTAGGTTTATGATCCCCCCCGCCACAATCTCATTCATACCTAACTCAATAGCTACTAGTCTTTTACAGTTGTTGTTGTTGTTGTTGTTGTTGTTGTTGTTGTTGTTTTACTGTAAGTGCTACACCCAATGTGGGGCTTGAACTTACGACCCTGAGATCAAGAGTCACATGCTCTACCATCTGAGCCAGCCTGGTGTCCCTCTGTCCCTCCTTTACAGTTGTACTCAAAGCTTTCACAGAAATGATATCTTTTCCTACTCATATTTCATGTTTGTATAAATTCTAGTTAAATTACATAATTTGACAGTTACAATGAGTAGAAATAGGTTTTGGAAAAAGTCTACTGGTTACTGATAAGTCTATAACTAAAGTGGTGGGAACAGAAATGCTTGAATGTTTTAAAGAGTAACCAATACACACGGGGAGGTCATGGGCATTGGCAGGGTGTTTCACAAAGAAAACAGGAAACATCAGTGATTATAAAGCCAGAGAAGTGTGATCAAATAAGAGGACTTCTGCTATACTATAATATAGCCAGATGAGGTGCCTTACCTGTTACATACATAAAGAAAAAGAAAAAGCAATCCCTATCAAAATAATATCAGCATTCCTCACAGAGCTAAAACAAACAATCCTTCAATTTGTATGGAACCAGAAGAGACCCCGAATAGCCAAAGCAATCTTGAAAAAGAAAACTGAAGCTGGAGGCATCACACTCCCAGACTTCAGGATGTATTACAAAGCTGTAATCATCAAGACAGTGTGGTACTGACACAAAAACAGACACTCAGATCAATGGAACAGAACAGAGAAGCCAGAAATGGATCCACAAACGTATGACCAACTAATCTTTGACAAAGCAGGAAAGAATATC